TTACTACAGCCGCTATTTTTTTTCTCGCTAGAAGTCATTTGAAGTTGATGTAGATGTCCTCTGTTGCCAAGTGAAAAAAAGGGAATCTTTCGAAAACCGTGATGCGAGTTCAACTGTTTTTCTCTTGGTGTGACTCATTATACACCGACTCTAATGTAAACTATTTAAATGGATGATGTAAACATCCATATTTAAATTGATGACAGAGTTTGACGTCAGTTTCCATTAACCATGTGAACAGCGAGAGAACAAAAGAGTCAACAAGTTCACATTTCCATTATTATGATCGTTAAGGCGTGTCAACGATTCGTGATCACCGATCAAGACATAGATAACGGGTTCTATCCAAATAGCTGCAACTGACGTCCGCCCTATTTTTTTGTCAATTTCTTAGCATTCGTCATTTGGCATGGACCTGCTTTAAAGAATTACAAGGATGGTGTCTTCGGCAGTTTTTAGACAATATCATTCTGATCAACTTTTTTTTATTCCATAATTGGGCAAGGACATTTTGAGATATTTGGGTTTTAACATTTTTTAGAGTTGTGTGTGTGTTCCCTCTAACCCACACTGGTCGGTAGTGTTAATGTCGCATTTATGGTCATTGTAGACAGTTTTAGTCCGGGAGTTTGAAAGTGATAGCTCTATTGCAGATCAAGCAACCCATTTCAGAATGTCTGGAGAGTCACGCTCATTCCGTTATCAAATGGACATTGGTATTACATACACCTGGCACGTATTTAGTTTATGTTTTTTTTAATAGTAAAATGCATTTGGACTGGTTTCACCATGTTAATTTGATCCTCCAATCCATGGGTTTCATAATTTTGATTTTCTCTAAGCTTTGCATTTCATTTCGTGATGCACCTGTGTCGTAATACTTGCTTTAACGAACACAAATTTTCTTGCATTGCTTTGTTCATCTGGGAGGAGGTTCGCGTCTAGTGCTTTCTCCAGGAACAGTTCGAGGCCACCAAATGCTACCCCGTCCAGTTTTGGGCGTATCCAGCGAGGCATCTTTCATATTGCTCACAATCTCCGACACCGGCGAGAGACCAGCAGCCGAGCACTTTTGCAAGCGGAAAACTTGCTGATTCACGGCAACTTCGGCCACCGAATCACCACCAAAACTCGCGACGGACACATTATCAACACGTTCCCGGGCTAATTCACCAACCGGACCGATCTCTCAATAGAACTATATGCCGAAAGTGTAGCATCCGAACGCGGAGAACCAGGCTCTCGGGAGGCAATGAAAATCGACACCGAACAATGGAACTGAAGCTGCGTCGTATATTTTGGAGGTTAGATTCAAGGTCAACCGAGCCACTCAAGGCAAAACACGATTAAATGATAACTTTATGAACACTTGAAACTCAATTTTAGCACACAATTTAACAAATCCAAAGCCAAAAAGTGTTTCATTCGCTTACGAAAAATACGCAGCAAAAGAAAAACACGTCAGCTTTCAAGCGCGGCTTACTGAGATCTCCCTTTTAACATTTTTTTTAGAGTTGGTTGGAAATGCTATCTATCACGAAGCTTTAGAGTGATGATTTATTTGCTAGAGAATGGTCTGAAGAGGGTAGGTAGATAGTTCCGCTAGAGTACGGCAGTATGCAAATTGAATAGAAGTTGAAATTGAGCAACACAATAGTTGGGTAAAGAAGAACTGCATTATAACACACCATCGACTGGAAATGCTCTCGCAACGTGGGGCTTTAGGTAGTGATGTAAACGTTGCTAGAACTATTCCACAGCCGCAATCAGTTTAAGAGCAAAAAGAGGGACGCACATTTTTGCCCGTGGACTTGGAGACATACTTCAAAACTGTGCGTCGATCTTAAAACTGTCGCATTAATGGCCCTTCGCTCATTTTCAACTTCTATTCAATTTTCATACTGCCGTACTCTAACGGAACTATCCATTAATTAATTAATTTAGCTTTATTTAGGAGGCTTTCAGCCTTAGGCTGGTTCGCCTCCGAAGAGGAACTATCCACCTACCCTCTTCTAAAATCATTCTCTAGCTAATAAATCATCACACTAAAGCTTCATGTTAGCATTTCCAACCAACTCTGAAAATCGTTAACTTCGCGTATGAAGTAACATAAAAACACTTTGACTGGATGAAGACGTTTCCCCGATGAGAAGATCTAAGAAGGGTAGACTATCATCTTTTTCGTTTTCGTGAATAAATTTGATGTACTTATGAACGTTGATTATGGTCTCCAAATTCTTTGATCATTCTTCCCTTTTAGGCACGTGGATGAAATTTTTAGTTTTGAAAAAAAAAAACAATGCTAAAAATGTCATCCACGTCAACACTTGGGCAACAAATTCCTATCCTCCAGGATATTTTCTAGGTTTCTCAAAAAAATGGGAAACCAGATTGCTCATAGGAGCACCTTTAATTTGTTTGTAAAAAATTTCCTCGGAAAATAAAATAATTTTCCTCCATACAAAGATGAGTAAGCTTGAGATAAGACTGAACTTTGATTTTCCAAGTAGAATCCACACGTTACTTCAGAAGCCAGTCCTCTAAAACGCAGATGGCTTCCTTTACTGGTACAGTCGGATAAAGTGCTGTGACATCAAATGAAACCATGGCTTCGTCTTCCCGAATCTCTCCTGATGTCTGAAGTTGATTTGCGAATACCTGTGTGCTGTTAACTGAGCGAGTGGTAAAGGGGTTAGGCAATTTTGAAACTCTTTAACTAGCCATTTGGCAAGCTTATGAGTGATGCATCCTTCAGCTGAGATAATTTCCCTCATTTCGTTTCCCGGTTTGTGAGTCTTTGGTAAACCTTTGATCCTATGTAGAATAGGGTTTGAAACTTTCAATTGACTCGTAGTGTTGCCAATAAACGCCTTGCACTCTTTAACGTTTTATCCACATGTTTAACCATATATCGGAGGGGTCAATCCTCAACTGCCTGTATGAGCCATACTGCATTACCTATGTCCACTTTTGTATAGAATATCAACTTTGTTTTTATTTTTTTTTTGAGAGTTTGAATTTCCTCTTTTTTGGTTTTACTAAGTGATATCCCTTTCCGTTTTTGTATTGTCTCTGAAATAATATTCCTGGCAGTCTCGTGTAATTGAATAAGAAGTGTGTGAGTGATTGCAGTCTCCATGTCAACGATGGCCTCTTCCACGTTAGGTTTTGAGGAGATCGCATATCCTTATCCCTTGTTGAGAAGTGTCTATAAGGCTGATCACAGATCACTCACACACTCTAGATTTCTAGCTGTCAGTTCCACTGAGAAACGTCTCTTGGATCACCATATTGTTCTTCTTAGAACTGTTGCGTCGAGCGATTTACCACAAAACCTTCGACGGGTTGAACCACTGCTGTGTTAACTGAACTGTGTGATTTCTGGTCCCTCTGCCGTGTTGTGTATTTCAAACCGTATTGTAGTGACCTCAGTTTGTTGTTATGTAACTTTCGTTTCCCTCTTTCCTCGCAGTGTGTGTGTGTATTTACAATCTAACTCCCACTGACTGGCAGTGGCATTATAAATAGAATCCTCCTGCAACCATCTGTTATATAAATAATTGCAAGAAGCTTAGATCCGGGAGTTAGAAGGTGACAGCTCTATCGCAACTCCAGAAGCCCATTGCAAGAACGCAAGCATTCCGAAGCCTCCTAGTGGGAATCATTAATAATGTACTGGCACATTCAATCAAGCGGTATTGCTTGATTGACGCGTATTTAGTGAGTTGGAAATGTTTGTAGTATCACTAGTACTAGTATTAGTACTCGGAAATAAAGTATGAACATGTTATAAAGGACAAAATGGAACGAATTCACCAAATCTGGCCAAGGGAACTGGCTTGATGTGTTAAAGGGGAAGTCGTAGACGGTTCACTGCACTGGGTAATCCGGTTTGTTGTAGAGCTTGCACGGAATGTCCCAAATGTAATCTTGAAATATCTCATGGCCGTCTGATACAATCCGCATACTGTGGAATTAGATTCAGGAAATTCAAGTATCTGTTTGTCACTAATATCACTTTACTGTAAAAAAAATCCGGCGCAACGCAAAATCCAAAAATTTGACGGGAGGATTTTTTTAGCTTCCATCTACAAGCACAGCACTCTTCGATCAATCACTTTTCCTTCTTTCCTCGCAGTCCTGACTTTTTAGTCAACAACAGTGGAAATCCAGTTGTGAATTCTTTGGCCAATTTTAAATGTAGGGAATAACATTCCATCGACCTTGTTTCCAACTTTGAGTAGATACGCTGAATGCTCACTTTTACAAATTCTGACTCCCTCTTACGAACTTCTTTTAAGGGAGTTGGTGTCTTAGCCCTAATCTTATGACTGATAGGTGTTAGCTTTAATTTTAGGCATTTCTTAAGAAACGGCTCAAACTTGGTTCATTGCCCCTTGTGAACAATTACACGAAGTTTCATGGTTGACGTGGAACTGCTGAGTTACAAAATACAAAATATTGGAACTCAAATTGGATCAAAGAAAAGTGAGTGAGTGACTCAATTTAATAGCAAAATTTAACTGTTTTGTTCATATATCCGGAACCAAATGACCGATCAGTCATGCAAACAAAATGGAATCGGTTGCACTCAAATCGGCTAAGCCCTCAACGAGAAAAGTGAATGAAACATACACACATAACTCTCATACAGACGTTTTCCGATCTCGTCGAGCTGAGTCAATTGGTATCAATCGAAAATGTGTGTTTCATGTGATATTATAGCTTTTCGGTACACCTCGTAGTTCGAGAAATACTTTTTCGACTTGTTGATCTGTGCAAAGGGACCATCTTGGCATAACAGCAATGATTGTGTTTATAGTTTTCTAATAATTACAGTTTCAATGAGATTCACCAGATTGTTAGTCGCTAAATTGAACACGCATACATATTGCCATCAATTGAAACCAGATGGCACGTACTCTCCGTACCCCTCGTAGTTTCGACAGTGTTTTCATTTGCATTCGATCTCGTTTCACACTTATTGAACATCAGTGAATCGGACTCACTTAACCCTCGAACAGCTTCTTCATTACGAGATAGAACGAGTAAGTGGTTTGAACGGCCTGAAATGAAACCGAAAGCAATTTGTTGAATATGAACTGTTTTTTTTTTAAATATATTTTTGACGCCAATCGCGCATCATTACCTTGCCAAATTGTTCGATGCTCACATAGTAGAATCTAAGTGCGGTTATGCCCACGATTTTTTGCGCTCGCACTGACATGAGCAGCACTTTCTTCTGTACGGTGAGCGGGGCATCGTACCATCGATGGCTGTAGATCTCGTGCGCTAATGATTCGCTCTGGTGGAGACATGATTGTAATTGTCAGACATTTGGAATCTGTAATTAATTCTGCTTACCACTTCCGTCAATTCGGATCCAAAGAACGAAAAGGCCAACATTTCAAAAGCAACGATTTCACACAAGATAAGCGTCGTGAGTGCTCCCAAGCCTCCTTTGCCCTGTTTAAATAAAAAAGGAATTAAGAATATGTCATTTCGGAACCTAGTAGGCTATGCTAGTGATTCTTACAAATGTGATGTAGAAAAGAAGTAGACACCAAACGATAACGCACCCCATAAATTGTGCTAACAGGATTGGACTGATCAGTTCCTCTAGCAGCTGAGCACATCTGTCAATCAAATTGTTGTCGCTCATGATTAGCATTATGAAATCTCGTAGCAAGTCACTCACCTCAGAGCCAGATAATGGCCTCTAATTACATCGTCTACAGCTCGCTGCAAGCGTGAACCTCCTCCAATGGTGACCGCACTGTCCAGTAGTCGAATGCGAATTCTAACCAGTTTGAACATCAGCGATACGTACTTTATCAAACTGTAGTACACCATTGACTTCATGGCAAGGAAAATTGCACTACAGAAGAAGATAGGTGAAATCAGTGACTCGACGACGACATAGTGCCACACGCGGTAGTGATCCATGTAGGGCAGTCTGAAATGAGATTTTTTGAAAATTGTTCAACAACAGCAATTATCCGCCTCTGGGGCGAGGGTACTCATTGGGAAAAATGAAGTAGAACGGTTCGCTGGAGTTGTTCCACGTGAGGTACTTGTAGAACGTTAACACGGGAGGCACTACTATGTACACGGGAATATTGAGTCCGGTATAGGCAAAGTAGAATCGGCAGATGTTTCGGATGAATCTGTTCGTTTTCACAATTGCCTCTCGATACTCCGGTGGTTGGTACGAACGGCAATCTGGTTTCAAAATTTAACTATCAATCACATGATGCAAATGAAGGAAAAACTGAATTTACATTCGGCGAAAGCTGCTCGCAAGATTCTAATTAACATCATCAGTTTCGGCAGTTTCCACACATACACGATAAACACTGGATAGAGCATCGAAATGAACACAATTTCCCCGAGATGACGAATCATGGCATGGATGTCGCTCGTATCCAGATAGATGATTGACGGCAGCAAGCGTAGGAAAAAGTGACACAGGAAGAATCCGTACAGTCCAAACAGGCGGCGACGATCGCCCCATGCGCCGAACAGTTTCAGTAGGCGAATCACCAAAGGATAGACATCCTTCAGGCTGCCAAAGTGCACCAATCTGGGTATGACCGTCATCGTTGCTGGTTGGTTAATGTTTGGACATTTATGGCTGGTTTTTCTTTGATTATGAATCTGCTTTTCTGAGCTTCATTTTTGTCAGGCTGAAGAATATGTCGTGCGTGAGTTAATTATAGTATTTAGGTAAGGAAGTGAGCTTTGAATTTTGATTGAGCATTATGATTTCGGTAGTCGATGATTTCATGGTCAATCCGTTTGTTGAACTTTAGGAAATACAGTCGAATTTCTCGTCAGTCTTTCGTTTCTCGGTGATTTACTGTGTATTATTTCCATGTAGAAAATTCAGTATACCTTTGAAAGAGATTAAATTATATGTGTGTTAAAAAAAAACTAATTGTAATTGCCACGAAAAAAAAAGTTGATTCAAGACCTTGAAGTGTACTGGTATTTACTTCACTAGGAAACTGATTACCAGTTTTTATTTTGTTGGTTTATGTTGATTACCAGTACCTACCCTAAACAAATGGTAGTTTTTTTTATTACATTAAAAGCAATGATAAATTTAGTTGCGATCAGAAATAGAGAATCACACTCAACACAGATGAGTTAACATAAATAACTCTGGTGTTTCTGCACGTCCTAAAACTGAAACGTACAGTGTGAGTATTAGGGTGGTTCAAAATATAGAATTTGCTCCACCAAGCTCAATTGATTCTAAATCAAGTCTTGATCATTCTCGCAAAATTTGAGCTCATGTTGTTGCGATCTCATACTCCACTGTTACACACATACTGAACTTTATTATGGAATAACTATGGGAAAAGTGAACTTTTACTTCTTCTCATCGTTATAGCCTTTTGACATAATTTTTTTTTTTTTTTTTTTATTATAGTCACTTTAACGCTCTTGGGTCATTCGTGACTTGTCCGGGGGTGAGATTTGAACTCGTGACTTCGGCGTGAGAGGTATGGATGCTAACCACTACGCCGGGGTTGCCCCCTGATTTTGACATAATTATTTACGTGTTCGCTTAGCTTTTTTTTTTTATCTTTATTTTAGAGATTTTTAACCGAAGGCTAGTTCATCTCTAGTTAGCTTAGCTACAACTTTGCAGAGGACTACTTTTTAATTTAATGTTTGGATAATTGGTTATTGATTGATTTCGAAGCCGATATCTTTCTGATATGATCAATCGGCTGGTTTCAGGGCAACACTGCATCTTTCACTTATGACATAGTAGTCTGGATTTGTTGTCCTATTCTCGCGCGAAATACGCCAATGTTGCCTGCAGAGCAGCTGATGGAGCAAGTCAGAATAATATCATTTTCCTAATCAATTTTCAATTAATTATCCTGACGTTCAATCAAAAAGTGATCTTTGGCAAAGTTGTAGCTGAGAAAATTTTCTTTAAGTATAGATGGCAATCTAATACGTAAATCATTATGAGAAAAGGCCAGGACGATGAGGACAAAAAATTCACTTTTCCTGTAATAATTTCCAAATAAACTTCAAAGGCCCAGTGTGGTATGAGATCGTAGTCAAATGAGCTCAGAATTGAACCACCCTAGTTAGTATGATACGCCCAAGTAACAATTTGGGTTTTATGAGGGTTCTGAAGACCGTGTTTTAGATTTGTAGAACGTTTTAAAACCTCGATAAAACTTGCAATGTTACTTGGGCGGGCTTGTGTTCTTAAATATGCTTATTTGTGCAAATTGTGGGGGCCTCCCTTAGCTCAGTCGGTAAAGGCGCAGCTACAAAGCAAGACCATGTTGGAGGTGGCTGGTTTCAATTCCCGGTCCGGTCTAGGAATTTTTCGGGTTGGAAAATTTCTCGACATAAAAGTATGATTGGACTTGCCACACAATTATACCAATGCAAAAATGGTACAGGCATCGAAAGCTGCATCTAGAACACTAAGTTGAGAGCACGTAATAAGCTAAATATGCGATATGCAATAAGCTTGAAATGCGAAGAAGAAAAAGAAGAAGATTGTGCAGATTGTGATTCACAACTTATTGCCCATTAAAGTATAACTCTCGCGTCACTTTCATCTTCATCGACTCTCTCTTTAATTAATAATTTGGCTACATTCAAATTTCATCGTAGACAACAAATCAAGAAGACTGGCAACTTTGCCAAATTTCAAGCGACAGATACAGTAGCGCTGCGCTTGAGTGAAGGTGGAAGCAACGCATAGAAAAATGAGCAAATACACAAACCCTTCGTCTGAGGATGTAATCTTTGCTATCAAATTCGTTCGAAGCATTTACCTTTGAGCGGCAGATGACGCGATTGTACGTGTCTCATAGAGTTCGTATGAGAAAATGGAAGAGTTGCCAGTCTTCTTGATTTGTTGTCTTCCATTTCATGCTAATTTTTCTACAGTCTGTTAAAAGAAAATATTACTAAGCGTAACAGCTCAATTTTTTTTGGAGCCGAGTTATTAACGAATGAGATTGACCATAAAAAGAATTAATCAATCTTTTAATTTTGTCGAAACTCTTAACGGAATACCTTTATGAAGAGTTTTTGAGTGTGTTGATTCGTTTCCTTTTAATTCCGTTACAGTTGCTTATATTTTGACAGATACGCGTATTTCGCCTACTACCATCAGAATTCATCAGTGCCAATTACTCAACACCAATGAAGAATCCACCTTTTATCTACGATTTATATACTGCCGTTATACGCATAACTGTCCCATGTTCTATGCAATCCTTATGCACCGTGGGACTCTTATGCGTATAACGGCAGTATACTAATCAATAGGTACTAAAAATCAGCAGGTATCCAACTGCCATGTCACATTTATCAAATTGGTTAGGTTAGGGCGTTCTTGAGTTCGTACGTATAGGTCCTAGCAAGTTTTGTTTACAAAAGTTGAGGCTCTTTTCAAATGTTACGTGAGATTTTTTTTCTATAAAGCTCATGACAAATTTAAGGTTTTAAAATGTTGAAAACTTTGGACGCTTAAAAATTGACCAAAATCGTTTAGCAAGAACTTTCGTAAAATTTTTGAACTTTTTGCTAGACTTTCTCAAAAGTTATTTATTTCAGCAGATTAGTGTGCCCGGCCTTGCTCGGGATTCAATATTAGCTTGAGTTTATGCGCCAATTAAAAAAAAACATTTTATATTGTACGTAGCCCCCCATCTTATCTAAGGGGCTACCCCCTATGATCTCCACATGCCAAATTTGGTTCCATTTGCTTGATTAGTTCTCGAGTTATGCAGAAATTTCTGTTTCATTTGTATGGGAGCCCCGCTTTACAGAGGGGGGAGGGGTCTCGAACCATCATGAGAAACTTTCCTTGCCCCAAAAACCCCTGCATACACATTTTCGCGCCCTTCGGTTCAGTAGTTTCCGAGTCTATAAGGGTCAGACAGACAGACAGGCAGAAATTCATTTTTATGTATATAGAAGATAGAAGATAGAAGATAGAAGATAGAAGATAGAAGATAGAAGATAGAAGATAGGAGATAAAAGATAGAAGATAGAAGATAGAAGATAGATGATAGATGATAGAAGATAGAAGATAGAAGATAGAAGATAGAAGATAGAAGATAGAAGATAGAAGATAGAAGATAGAAGATAGAAGATAGAAGATAGAAGATAGAAGATAGAAGATAGGAGATAAAAGATAGAAGATAGAAGATAGAAGATAGATGATAGATGATAGAAGATAGAAGATAGAAGATAGAAGATAGAAGATAGAAGATAGAAGATAGATGATAGAAAATAGAAGATAGAAGATAGAAGATAGAAGATAGAAGATAGAAGATAGAAGATAGAAGATAGAAGATAGAAGATAAAAGATAGAAGATGGAAGATAGAAGATAGAAGATAGAAGATAGAAGATAGAAGATAGAAGATAGAAGATAGAAGACAGAAGATAGAAGATAGAAGATAGAAGATAGAAGATAGAAGATAGAAGATAGAAGATAGAAGATAGAAGATAGAAGATAGAAGATAGAAGATAGAAGATAGAAGATAGAAGATAGAAGATAGAAGATAGAAGATAGAAGATAGAAGATAGAAGATAGAAGATAGAAGATAGAAGATAGAAGATAGAAGATAGAAGATAGAAGATAGAAGATAGATGACAAATTTATTTCGTCACACTTTTTTTTTATTTGCACCCCAGTATAGTCCACAAAAACGTAGTTCTACGTCAAAACATCTTGAATTTACAACACGGCGGTTGGAATTATGGAAGATTATATTTTGAGTCTGTACAGGACGAGAGTCTGATAACGAATGAACAAAGTTTGCACTTGTTGATATCTTCAAACAAACAGTTTACTAGGGTAGTTACTTCGATCTTCAACACCCCCTCTTAATCTGCCAATCCTATTAGCGACCTCATTTCACGGAATCTTCCAGCTTCGAGTGCCTTTGTGAATGTATCTACTAGCTTTTCATTGGTTCCACACGAAAATTTCCAGCCATCACATGGTCCTGCAAAAAGTGGTGCTTTATATCAATGAGCTTAGCACGTTTACATTCAGCATTACTTGTCATTGCAATACATCCATGGTTGTCTTCGAATATTGGGAATGGTTCTCCAGCTTGCAGTACCCCTAAGTTCTCCAACATGCCGTACAGTCAGATTCCTTTGGATGCCGCAGCGCTTAGTGTCATGTAGTCAGCCTCGCTTATGACATTGCCACAGTTTGCTGTTTTCTGTTTGCCCAACTAACGATACAGCCGTAGACCTTGAAAAGGAATCCGCTTATTGAATTACGATCGTTGCTATCTTAAGCCCAATCTGCATTTGCATATCCGGTCAGCACTGATGCGTTATGCTCGCGGCGAAACAACAATCTCGATGACTTGACTACATCATACTGCCAAGCAGCTCGCGGTAGGGTTGATCAGTACCACAGCTCGATTCAGGAAACGCAAGGCCCTTCTCCATCGGAATTTTCACAGGGTTGCACTTTTCCATTCCAAATTTCGTTAGAAATTCGAAAGTGTAATAAATCCTTTTTCTCGGTCATAGCCAATTTCCAATGCCAAGGAAATCTAACTTCCCCGCAATCTTACATCTTGAA